TTTAATATAGTTAAATATAGCAATCTTTTATTGTCAATATTTTTGTTTTGTATTGAATAATTTTTCCTACCCTTATGTCTAAAAGATATTCACTTATATTTTCTACTAAGAGCTTAAAGTGTTTTTGCCATTAGGTCCTTAATCCATGTAGACTTTATTTTTGTGTAGGCCATAAGATCCAATTTTGTCTTTTTCTATTAAAATAAACATTATTTTCCTGTCCCATTTATTGAACAGTCCTGCTTTTTCCCCAGATCTGACATACTAAAGTTCCATGTATGTCTTGTCTGTTTTGGGGCTATATTGCATTTGTCAATATGCCCATACCATACACACAATACCATATTGTCTAAAGTGATGTAGCTTCACTGTAAGATCTGGTATTTAGTAGGGCAAATGCCTTCTCTCTGCTTTTCCTCTTCAGATGTATTGTGGCTAAGTGAGGAAGATATAAACATCTACTGTATTGTCCAACCACATATTTGTACCTATTTTTATACAACTTAACCTATTCTAACTAATACAATTATTCTTTCTACTAGGGTACAAGTAGCTTTGAGGGCACCAATCATATCTCATTCATCTGTGTTTTCCTTAGAGGGCATAAAATAGTGCCTTACCCGTAATAGGTATTCCAGAAATGTTAGCCAAATGATTATGAGACAATGCAACCCCGTTGCAGAATTGAGCTCTACTCTACATATATGATCAATGACTTACAGAGTCATCTGGTGAATATGCAAGGGGCTTTGATGCTCAAGATTTCCATAGATTATTCATTGTTTACTTCTTAGTGTATTACTTCTTAGTGTTTACTTCTTAGTGTTTACTTCTTAGTGTATTCTTAGTGTATTACTTGATTGCAAAGTCTTGAAGATCTTTGTAAAAAAATACTGTACAGAATATTAACAAAATAGGTACAAAATAAGTTTCTCTGTAGTCCTTAACCTCTATTCATATTGCTTCTATTGTTGCTAATTTTTCAATGGCAATTTCTCACATTCTTAAAAAAATTCCTAAGTGCAAAATTAAATTAGTGTTCCTATGTATATGTGCAGTTTAAGCTATATAATCACTTACTCATTTAAGGAGTAAATGTTCTACAAATAATATTCAAGGGCTGTAGAAAAATCTGAGAATGATAATATAAAATTTTTACAATTCCCTAAGACGTTAAATAAAAATCACAGATAAAGGAGTTGCGATAGGTTAGTAAGGGGTACTAGAATACTGAGATTCTGCTCTAAGCCTGAGATGCTGGCAGTAGAGGGGATGTTAAGCCATTTGGCCACATTTTCCAGATGATCACGTGTAGGGTTCTCAGTGGGGTTCTATCCATCACATAATTACAGATTCCTGAACAATGTTAACGCTCCTGAGGAAAATGCTCTTGCCCACACTGTCCCTTTGAAAAGTTCTAAAAGAACGTCTAGAATGCTTATTCCTTTAAATGAGGCTCCTCATCTTAACATGGCCCTGAACCACAATGCATGCATGTACAAAATTTAAATAACCATTGCCACAGCACATTTATAATTTCAGGATAATTTTATTTTATGAAATTCAGAATATTGTAGAATTTAATATAAATACAAATCCGACAAAGGGCTGATAACTAGAATCTATTTAGAACTCAGAAAAATCAGCAAGAAAAAATCAAACAACACTATCAAAAAGTGGGCAAAGGACATGAACAGAAACTTTTCAAAAGAAGACAGAATAATGGCCAAAAAACATATGAAAAAATGCTCAGCATCTCTAATCATCAGGGAAATGCAAATCAAAACCACAATGAGATATCACCTATCTCCAGTGAGACTGGCTTTTATCAAAAAAACCCGAAACAATAAATATTGGCATGGATGTGGAGAGGTAGGAACACTCATACACTGCTGGTGGGACTGCAAACTAGTGCAACCTTTGTGGAAAGCAATATGGAGATACCTTAAAGAGATACAGGTAGAACTACCATTTGATCCAACAATCCCATTACTGGGCATCTACCCAAAAGAACAAAAGTCGCTCTATGAAAAAGACACCTGCACTCGAATGTTCACAGCAGCACAATTCACAATTGCAAAGATGTGGAAACAACTGAAATGTCCATCAATACATGAGGGGATTAATAAAAGTGGTATATGCATACCATGGAGTACTATTCAGCTTTAAGAAACAATGGTGATATAGCACCTCTTATATACTCCTGGAAAGCGCTGGAACACATTCTACTAAGCGAGGTATCCCAAGAATGGAAAAACAAGCACCACATGTACTCATCATCAAATTGGTATTAGCTGCTCAACATTTAAGTGCACATATAGGAATAACATTTATTGGATGTTGGGCAGGGGGAGGGGGGAGGAGGGAGGAGGGAAGAGGGGACGGGCATATGCACAAAAAATGAATGGGATGTGCACCTCCGGGGGAATGGACACACTTGAAGCTCGGACTTGGGGGGTAGGGCAAGGGCATCATACGTAACCTAATCATCTGTACCCCCATAATATGCTGAAATAAAAATAAATAAATAATAAAGGTTAAATCACAGAATTCTCTTCTATGTTTCACTTTCCCTATCTGTTCAATGAGAATGCTATGATTGTTTTCCAAAATTTCTTCTAGCTTTAAGATCCCATAATTCTAACTGTGTCTGAATATGTCGGGCACTTACACAGAAGTAGGATTTTTATGTCAAAAATACACACTTTTTCTAGAATAATTTAGCTTGGCAGTTAAATGCCTCTCAAAATTTCTGTATACTGTTGGCCAAGTACAATGACAGAATTATACTGACACTTAGAATGACAGATATACTTTTTAAATGCTCACATGAATATGAAGACTCCTTCAACTTACAAGCAAACAGCTTAATTAAGGAGGATCTATAAAGATGGCCAGATATATCAGCCAACCAAGGGAAATATTTCAATAAATTGAAATATTTCAATTTAATGCCTCCCACATCCTAATGCTTATCCAGTTTACTTAGCTAAAGTATATGCCTATATAGTCCAAATTGGCTTCTCATGTATGTCTAGTTTGATTTCTTTCAAAGCAGAGGTTAAGACAAGGACTTGGGTGCATGTAGTTTACTGGGGAAGTCATCTTGGGCAGCAGGAGTGAGGATGTGTGGAGAATGAGCCTGGGAAGGAGGAAAAGCCAACTGGAGCTCAATCCCATGGGGGACCCTATGGAAACTCTAGAAGATATATGCAAAATATGCTTCAGAATGGCCTCTTCTAAAAATTCAAGGGTGGAGCGTTTTTATTCATGGACTCTCATCTCCATTGGTTGAGGATACTTTGGGACCATTAACTCTCCAACACTTCATGGCTGCCCTGTGCAACCTGTGGCTTTAATAAGAGCCCTGAGGCAGAAACCCAGAGAGATGCTACCAGTGCTTGAGGTGAAAGGCTGTCAGAGCATATGGGCAATGTCTACCACTGATGGAGCTGAGATGGGACATGGGGCACCAAAAGTATCTGCTACAATGTGAATCCAATTAGATCAACGATTGATACAAAATTATTATCAGTTTGTATTTTCCAACAAACAACTCTTCTACAAAAGTTATTTTGAGGACTCCCTATATAAAATTAACTTGAAATTTATGTTTAGGTACAAACACTCTTTAAAATGCTCAATTATCCAGGTATAATGATTGTTTAGTTATTGCTAAGATGCAAGAGTTAAAGAAAAAAAGTACTCCTAATTTTGGACTCTGTTTCTAGTGTGTTATCCAACATCCTGAAGATTATTTCCTGAATTCCTTTTTCCAATTACAGTAAATACTATTTATAAATAATTTATGTTTACAAACTTCTTACTGCTCTACACTCTGAAATGAAAAAAATAAGCAAGAAAAATCAATATTTTATTATTGGAGAATGCAGGAAAATAACTTTACAGCTGTCAATACTGTTTTTCACTCTGCTGGTTCCACAGTACATAAAATCAACTCTGCACAGGCTGTTCTTGTCATAAATGACTGATGATGGATGATGTCAACAAGAGAATGAAAAATGTTGCACGGTTTCAAGCTTAACTTTCAACAAACAACTATATAAATACACAGATATGGACCAACAATCCTTCCCAAATGGAAAGCAAACACTGAAAGTGAAGTAGATGTTAATTTGCAACTAATCTTCCTGGATGCCGTACAGATGTAATAGTTAACCATGCTAGCTACTGCTGAAGTTTTTCACTCTTCCTTCTAAGGTTGCTACTGTAAACATAATGTTTTAAATCCATTAGGGTATACAGCAACAAGAAGGGAAATTTATTCCTGTTCCCAGAAGTGACTGGTGGACCAGTATTTCCTTTATACTACCAACTACAAAAGAGAAGAACTTTCTCTTATATGGGCAGCACCTGTATAAGGGAAACTCCAAAATCCCCAAATTCCAAATGGAAACACTTTGAAGAGCATGGTCACAAAAAAATTCTTACCAGTTTCTGCCCAGATAGGACCTCCAGGAGAGCAAGCAGCTTAACGCCATCTTTCATGTCTTCAAAAAGGTCCTCTACCACCATAGGGGGTTTCCGCTGTAAAATGAAAAAGAGGAATAAATGCAAAAAAACCTCTCTCTCTCTTTCTCTCTCTCTTTCTCTCTCTCTCTCCCCTCCTCCCACCTTTGCTACTCATTGTAGTGAAATTTGAAAAAAAAAAAATTTCTGTATACCTTAACTCTATTTTGGATATAATTCTCTCTTACCTTTCGATAACTACAAGAAGTAAAACAATCCAGTGAAAATAAAACCCAACGTCCAAGAATGTCAGAAGATTTAATGCTTGGGCTTTAACATATATACCAGCTTCTTTCTAGAAAAAGATTTTTGACAACTCCACTCTGAGCAAGCCACATTACTGTGGCTTAAGAAGCTGTGGCCCTTCTATAGGACGTTCTCACCAAGGCAACCTCATTAGCTCAGTGTCCTGTTGAAGGAGCACTGTTGGCATAGCCCAGGTTGCAGATTTAATCTCCCTGTGGATGAGTCAGCTGGTATGTTCTGTTTCACAGCCTGGGGGATCTAGCAAGCCTTCTTAGAGGCATTGAACCCAAAAGATCGTAAGCACAAGAGTACAGACTGAGCAGGGAAAATCCATCACCACTGCTGCGAAAATAAGCCAAAGTCCATATTTAATTCATGGAGGGTCTTTTATTTTTTATGAAGGTTTTAAAAATACTCAATATACTGGAGCTGCTCAAACCTTGAGTTAGGGTCTATTTTGGCTCAGAAGAAAGTAAAGAAGCAATGATGCCAATTCTGGTTGTCAAGAGAAGGGAAGTGCTCACTGATTTCTCACAGAATCAGAATTTCTTCCATTTATCCACTGAGTTCAAGCTTTATAGTTTTCTGATTCCCACTGAATCTTGTTAAAGGCCTGATGCTCAATTCCTGACTTTCAACTTTACTAAAAAAAAAATGTGTTCCATGTAGAGATATTTAATCACCAAATGTCTGGATGAAATGTGACTTTTTTTTTCTCTACCCACTGATATGGAGCATTTATATTTCTCTTATGAATGCATAAATTACAGTCTCTGAATGGTGCAATTCTAATTTTAAATGTATTTTCTCTCTTTATAAAATGCACAGCTGAACACATTTTGTCCTTATGCTGTTAAATACATGTTCAAAAATAAGAGTTTTCGTTTTCAATCATTTTCCTTAAAATTCCACCGTTGACCCTACTTCTGACTTATACAGCAAAAATGTAATAGTGACTTTATGTTCTAAGCATATAAATAAAATTATTCAGAATAAAAGGAGCCATTAAAATGAAAACTATTTGGTGTGATAATCAAAATTATTGTATTAGCCATATATAGTCATTAACATATGGTCTATTTATCAAAGTGTCTATTCATTTCCTAATAATTTAAATAAGTAAAACAATGACAAAAAAGTTCATGAATGTGCGATAAGTTCAACAAGCAAACACGAGTGAAGTTTTTCATATATTGGGATAACCTGAATATGTAAAAACAACTTAAAAGAAAGCAGGTAATTCTCATGAAATAATAAAGATTTCAAAAAATTTTACACCATAAGAATGACAAAATGCATGCACTTATCTGTTCTGTTTTTAAAGATACACAGGTCTCTGCCACATCAAAGAACATTTTCTTTTGACCTCACTTACATCTCTCCTTTTTTTCCCTGTTGTATTTCTACTGATGCTGCACATGTTCCCTTTTTCCCTCCATTGTTCCCTGCATGATGCTCCTGGAACCGGCCTCCAGATCGGCAGTGACTGCTGAACAGTTCGGTAGCCCCCTGGTGTCTCTGCATGGGCCACTGCTGATACCATCCGCCCCCTGATCTGTTTCTCCCCCAACCTCTGTAATCAGACCACCTTGTTCACAGGCACCAGTCTATTTCTCTCTCTCTCTCTCTTTCTCTCTTCTCTCTCTCTTCTTCCTAATTATGGCCATCCACCAAACTCAAACCTGAGTCCTTTGTTCTTTATAAAATCTTGTCTGCATAGGTATGACTCTTGAATCCTTCCTTCCAGTTAAGTGTCCTCTCCTAAACATTGCTGAACTTGTGGCAGGCACACAATATATATTGCTGGCTGTCTCACTGACTGAATGAATGAATGTAAATATTGTGTGAAACCAATAAAATAGCTTCATTCATCAAAATTATACCAGAATAAAAAACCTTAGTAATCATTACATGTGTTTTGCTATCCCACTTTGCATAAGGTATTGTTTATATACAGCAAATGCTCAACTGGGGGAAACTTCCACTATGGTGACTACATCACATTTATTTTTTGGAACATGTTTTAACAGAAAATCTTTCAGCTAAAATGTTTCTCCTGTCACAAATACAAATACAGCACCAATATGACCACTTTAGTAGGACTTGGGTCGTAGAGCGGAAGGCCAAAAGGAAGAGTTAGAAATGAGTATTTATTGGAGACTGACTTCATGGAAAATAAAGACAACATGGTATTGCAGTTTGTTCTAATTTGCAGTTTCAAGCGCTGGACAGAAATCTATCAAGCACTTTCCAAGACCAAATTATCTTTTTTTTATTAGTGGAAAATCGTGATTAGCTCTCTGTATTTGTACAGTATTGGGGAAAATTATATCTTCCTTGGCCTTACCAGTCCTTTTTAGCACATGCTACAGTGGAACCAAGACATATTCATGTTGAGTCTGATTGTTGGTTCAAACAATGGACCCTCTGTCAGGGTGAGGTGACAGGAAGACGGGAGAGAACAAGACAAGAAAGAGATACTTTGCTTCTGTGCTACCGCTTCTAGAAGCTTTTCTCAAACTGGGTTTAAACCTTAAGTTCTGGCTCTAAAAGGACTGCCTGGTCTCTAAAAGTCTCTAAAAACTGAGGGAAAATGCACAGGCCTCTGTTACTAGAGAGCTGGCATTGCCTGGCTCTATGGTTGGTGGTTAACTCATGAGTGGAGCAGACCTCACAGGGCTCTTTCCCTATTTCTTCTCCTTTACTTTTGCCACAAAAGCCCCTTGATAACATATAGTGAGATTGATTCCCTTTCTCTTAGGACTTAAAGGAGACCAAATATTTCTCCTTAAACTTTATGAAACCTGGGGAAACACAGGCATCTTTGACAGCATTTTTACTGACCATTTCCTATATTTTGAAAAACAATTTATTTCTCTAACATTGTGTGTGTGTGTATGTGTGTGCATGGCAAGAGATAAGTGTCTAGTTTCTTTCTTCTGCATATAGATATCCAGTTTTCCCAGCATCATTTATTGAAGAGACTGTCCTTTCCCCACTTGTTCTTGGTACCATTGTCAAAGATTAGTTCACTATAGAAGAGCAGATTTATTTCTGGGTTCTCTGTTCTGTTCCATTGGTCTATGTGTCTGTTTTTATTCCAGTACTATGCTGTTTTGGTTACTATAGCTCTGCAGTATAATTCAAGTCAGGTAATGTGATTCCTGCAGTTTTGTTCTTTTGCTCAGGATGGCTTTGGCTATACTGGGTATTTTTTGGTTCCATATAAATTTTAGGATTATTTTTCTATTTCTATGAAGAATGTCATTGGTATTTTGATGGGAATTGCATTGAATCTGTAGATTGGTTTAGGTAGTATGAACTTTTTAACAATGTTAATTCTTCCAATCCATGAGCATGGAATATCCTTCCATTTTTTTGTGTCCTCTTCAATTTCTTTCATCCATATTTTATAGTTTTCATTATGGAGATCTTTTACTTCCACTTTTAAAGGCAGGCCTTTCTTTGGAACGTGCAAGGTTTGAGCAACCCAGGCCTGCTGAATTAACCCTTTCCAGCCCAGCTGGGTTTTTTTCTAATACTCTGAAGCACCCAGTATCCATAGAT